CCTATGCTCACGGCATCTCCTACACAGTAGATCATAACTGCACTCAACCTACCTATGCTCACGGCATCTCCTGCAGTGGATTATAACCCTATCTGTGCTCACGGCATCTCCTGCACAGTGGATCATAACTGCACTCAACCTACCTATGCTCATGGTATCTCCTGCACAGTGGATAACTGCACTCAACCTACCTGTGCTCACGGCACCTCCTACACAGTAGATCATAACTGCACTCAACTTAGCTGTGCTCACGGCATCTCCTGCCCAGTGGATTATAACCCTATCTATGCTCACGGCGTCTCCCACACAGTGGATCATAACTGCATGGGCCTGGCAAGGAAAGGCTCAGGAACTGACATATTCCTTGCAGCTCTCAAGCAGAGCTAGACTTAGACATGACTACGGATGAAGCAGGGAACCTGGCCCTATGCTGAGGAAGGGAGGCAACATGGAAACCATGTGTGTTGATGGGAAAGAAGAGGAGTAATGCCTGCTGAGCACCTGTCCTTGTCCCTGACTTATGGAACAGTCTACACAGAAAGTGTGAAGGCAGGTCAGGTCCTAGAAAGGGATATCTGGGGATAAAAACTATACAACAGGCTTTGAAGACTGGTCCACAGTAAGACCCTTCCACCCAACACCCTTAACATGCTGCAGCCAGTACCTGAAGACTGTGGCAGGGGGACCATCGCAGCCTTGAAAAGAGAAAGGCAAAGTGAGACTTGGATGGCCTGGCACAGGTACAAATAGCCCAGGTCGTTCAGCCTAGTAGAGTAGGTTACTTACTGTTTCACCAGGCTGCAGGACAGGGGCTGGGGAAGAAAACAACATGTCACTCTGCTGCCCAGCAGCTGCCGCAGCTCTGCGTGCCCTGAGCACCAGGAGCCTGGACAGCTGCTCACCATTTCTTACCCTGGAAGCTCTTATGCAGCAGGGCCCACCCTCATGTTCTCAGCTATAAGAGCGTCCAGAGGCACTCTGTGGAGTCCCTGTGCCTGCTCTGTATCTGCTGGGGATCACCTACCTATGTCCTGAGTGGGGACAGGCTCTGGACAGTTCCCCTGAGGCTAGGCAAGTGGAAACTCAGTCACAGGAGGAAGTACCTCTGTCTCTCCTGTAGAAAACCTCAGGAAGTTTACTGGAGCGCTTGAGGTAGAAGAACCCAGCCACAGAGAGGATGAGGCCTGTGCTGATGAAGAGTGTCCCCAGGAAGAGGGAGGCTGCCACATGAGGACCCCCTGCAGGCAAACCAACAGCTGCCAGGAGAGCCTGGGTCTTGGGGGATGGATACCGGTACAGTGTTCCTTGCTTAACCCCTGGGGCCCACCATTCCCCAAACATACCAGAGCCCCGACTAGGGACCAGCCACATGTCAGAGCAAGGGCTCTGCACTCCTCCACAAGCCCAACACACCTCGCCACAGGACAAGGGACATCACAGTGCCCATTCTCTCCTGGATCAGGCTCATTCCAGTGCTCTCTCCATTAGACTGGCCCCAGCCTCCAGCCTTGGCAGCAGGTACTTCTGCTGCAGCTCACTTTGGATACATGCAGTTGCCTCCTGCTCAGCTCCATTTGTTTGGGGTCAGGACATGCTAGGGGTTATTCACAGATCAGTGTAACTGCCAACTACGGCAAATATCTTTCTTTTTGTTTGTTTTTGAGATAGCATTTCTGTGTGTGACAGTCCTAGCTGTCCTGGAACTTGCTTTGTAGACCAGGCTGGCCTTGAACTCACAGAAATTCTCCTGCCTCTGCTTCCCAAGTGCTAGGATTCAAGGGGTGTGCCACCACGGCCTGGCCTTGGGAAGTATCGTTCCTTTTTTTTTTTTTTTAGTTTTTAAAAATTAATTTATTTTTAAAAATAATCTTCTCATTTTACATATCTATTCCACTTCCATTCCTTCCCCTCCTCCTGATCCCCCACCTTCTCCCCACTGCACCTGCCATCCACTCTTCAGAGAGGGTAAGGCTTCCCATGGGGAGGCAACAAAGTCTGATACATTACTTTGAGGCAG